CGAAGGTTAATTTGTAGGGACATTTAATGGCCTAAATTATAGAGGTCTTTTTTATGTCTCTTGGGCCCTTAGACATGGTTCAAACAACAATTTTCTCTTGAAAGTGATTTTTAAATAGGTAGTTTCATTGTCTAAGTAATTTTTATTTAGGGTTACCTTATTTTTGTACTCCACAATTTTTTTCTACTTTTTCTTTTTCTATTGTATTATTGCATATATTGCTCATCGATATTTTTGCTAATTGCATGGGCCGGTGACCTCTTTTGTTCATCCTTTAGTGGGGTGGACCGGTACTAGATGCAGATGTCGTTGATACTTTGCCGGATTTTTTTTTAAATCTATTTCTAGTGGAAAATTTATACTCCCATAGTATTTTCTAAGTTTTGATACACAATTATTTTATTAGGTTTGAAAATGCAATATATTTAATCAACCATATATTTCCGATTTTCAATTAGAAAATTATAAAAAGTTGATATTTTTGAAAAAAAAAATTGATATTTCTAAAATACACATACGTTGAGAGAAAAATACCACAAGATACATAAGTTTTAATTTATGAAGTATTAGAGTAGAGTTTGTTAATAATGTTAAAAGACAAAACGTTTCAACTAATTTGAAACAAAGAAAGGACATTAACAGTGTGTTTTCCCACAAAATTAAAAATGTTAATGGAATGTTAGTCTATGTATACATTTGCTTATTTTGGCCCAATATGCCATAGAGTTTGCCATTCTAATCTTGCTAGTGAGTTTGAATCAATGACTAGTATAACTCGACGACAAGCTACAACAAATTAAAGTGTACATGGACAATTCACACGATAAATTAGAACACTATTATTTATTAATTTATTTATTTTGGCTCATTTGAAATCATCTGAAATGAATAAAAAAAAAAAGGGTAATCTGATTGTACCGAATAAATTGCTATAGAATTTGCCAACATCCTCATATTTTATTCTTCAAGTCTTCACATAGGAAGAATCATCATCTGGTTTGAGGCCAACTATCTCCAAATCCACATTTATTGAATTTTGTAGTATTAAGATAATATTGAGTGCTTAATCATTGACTAATATTTCTCCAATCCAACTCATGTGTTGATAATTACAAAATAAACAGAAACAAAAAGTAATCTCCTTTTTCCTTAAATGTGTTGTTATTCTTGCAACAACTTTCACCAAATTGAGTTAAACTTGACCTGAACAATGTTTACAGACGTTACAATATTAATGCAATAATAAATTTTGGACATAAAAAGCTTATTCTCTTACATATTTTTATCGACAAAAATTAGTAGAAAAAATAAATTAAAAAACATGAGGCCCATGACAAAAATAAAGTCCCAGTTATCCAAAATTACAAATCATATCCAATACGTATATTAAAACAATTTAGAAAAGAATTTGCTTATATCAAAATATGGACCCTAACATCTTCTAGAGTTTTAGCTACATACTGTATATACGTGAATAACATAAATTGTTCCGTCGCAATTATTGCAGATTCTACAAATCCACCACTTCACTATCTTAGCCAAAACTTTGGAAGTTTGGAGTATAATTATATTTTTTTGGCAAGATTATTATAATTATACGGAGTATTATTTATGTATAATAATATAATCATCATGTGGTAGGTCGTATACTCGTATACACTTTCCATAATTAAGACGCATCTTTTATACAATTATCTGAACAAGGGGGAGGGATCTTGCAGAATACTTATAAATAATTATACGCATATTTTAACTTTAAATGATTTTCATGCACATTTTAAAATCATATTATTAGTATCTTTGTTTTGAGTTTTGATAGAAATCAAACCCAATCGTAGTTTCATTGCATTTAGATTTACCATGAGAGTTTAATTTACTCCTGTGCCAGCTCATAAGAAAAGGTTGATTTATTCATGTCTAGTACATTAAGTTGGGACAAAGGGAGTTATAGTATATAGTTAGAGGATTAAATATTAATTAAGAAGGGTTAATAGTATATAGTTATAAGTTATCATTGGCGTGGGTGATATCTGAACTCATCATAAAAACTTTTCATTCACTTATAAATATTATTCAACATTAACCATTCTCAATTACTCCGTAATTTTGCTAAACTTATAACTTTATGCTGCTGAGTCCAGATATCGCCCACGCCAATAAAAACTAGTTTAGTTTTTAAAATTTATTATAAATAAATGAAGATGTGCATGTAGGGGCGGATTATGATATTACAAATATACAATACAATTATACAAACTTTGTTGCAAGCATTAAGTGACATAAATTACTCATATTAAATGTTACTTCGTCCGTCCTAGAATATATGTGACATTGGACTTTTTTCACTATTCACGTATTAATTTTGATTTTTTTTTTTTACAAGACTTTGACCAAAATATTTTAATTTACTAACATAATAAAAATATATTTTATCATAAATTATGTTGATAGATATGTATTAATATAAAGTTTTATTAAATAATTTTTATTAATATTTAGGGTCTGTTCACATTTACTTAATTTCAGTTCAGTTCAGTTCAGTTCAACTCCAATTAGTTCAGTTCAGCTCCAATCAGTTCAGTTCAACTCCAATTAGTTCAGTTCAGCTCCAATCAGTTCAGTTCAGTTCAGCTCCTAATTTTTCTCGCTTATAAAATATTCATTTCAGTTCAGTTCAGCTCCAATTAGTTTAGTTCAGTTCAGTTAAGTTCAGCTCAGTTCAATAAATGTGAACATACCCTTCATTATATAAAAATAAAGTCAAACTAATACATTAACATAAATTTAATTGTGTCAAATATGTTGAGACGGAGAGTATAAAATAGGTAATATATTAGACAAACTACAACTAAGGGCATGTTCATATTTACTTATTTTCATTTCAGTTCAGTTTAGTTCAGCTCCAATCAGTTCAGTTCAGTTCAGCTCCAATCAGTTCAGTTCAGTTCAGTTCAGCTCTTAATTTCCCTCTCTCATAAAATATTTATTTCAGCTTAGTTCAGTTCAGTTCAGTTCAGTTCAGCTCCAATCAGTTCAGTTCAGCTCCAATCAGTTCAGTTCAGTTCAGTTCAGTAAATATGAACAGTCCCTAAAAAGAGAAAATGATACTGTAAACTAACATATAAAAAGTAGAAAGTGATATAAATTAACATAATAAAAAACCGTCAAAGTTAAGAACAACAGAAAAATTCGCAAGTAATGGGCTGCAAATGCAACGTGCGACGCTGGATTGAAACTCAACAAATTTGACTGAATATGCAACAGCGTATATATGGTACCCAAAATTTACCAACTAGGGCAACTAAGCTTAATTTTTGACTTGTGCACAATTAACATTTAACAACCCATTATTACTTAATCCATTTGGGTGGTCCAAGCCTTTGGTAGGCCCCTTCCTTGGATCTGCCAGCGTTCCTCTTGTTGAGACTTGAGATCTTTTTAATATTTTTTTTCTTATGTTATGATTTTACAATCTTTAATATACATCTTTGATCGCAAATACATTTAATACGAGTAGATATAAATAGAAATTTTTAAAAAATTAATATTTTAATATAGTTTTGATGTTTGGTGAGACATAAAATTCTTACTCCGGATTATTTGCAACAAAGGGTGTTATTTGGTAAATTGGTGAGACATAAAAATTTCTTTGTTGCAAATAATAAGAAATGTAGGTAATAGTTAGTTTTTATGGTTAGAGTTTGTAAAATCTGACAAGTATTTATATAAATAAAGAATAAAAATTAATGGAGGGAGTACCATCTTAAAAGCTTAATCTTTTCAAGCGCGTTCGACATTAGCTTTTGAGTAGCTTTTAGTGGTTTGACTTATTCATACCATTACTAAATACTCCCTTGTTCCTATTTTTTTGCCCAATTTGACTACTCATGGTTCCCAATATGTGTCTTATAACGTATATAACTCAAATTTTATACCCGTAAAAAAATATAAAAACTTGATATTAATAAAATATACAATGAGACGATTTGAACAAGACCCCATCAATTGACTATATTATCTCTTTACACTAATGGATATTTATGATCAAAGTTTTTAAATTTTGACGCAATTATTTGCAATGGGGTAAAAAAAATAGGAATGGAGGGAGTAAAAATATGAGTGTTTGACAATGTAGTGGTGAGAATAGAGTTTAGTGGAACAACAGTAAAACAAAAATTAATACTCCCTTCATATGTATCTCCTCTTATTGCCATTAATTTTGATAAATAGATAAATAAATGTGACAACTAAAAATTGACAAAATTAGTAAGCCTTAAAATAAAATAAAGCATTAATTAAATTAACAAAAAGTCTTATATAAGGCGAACTTGCATTAATTTTATTGTAAGACAATCAATTTAAGGGTAATTTTAACTTGTAATGAGTTTTTGATTGTATTTTAATGTGTAATTTCTAATGGATACATGATATTAAGATTATTATGATTAATCTAATATTGAATTATAAGAATTTTATAAGGGTAAAACATATTAGGAATTTGGTAACTCATGTAGTATATACGGGTATGTAACTTTAAATACTTTTAAGGTGACTTTAACCAATTTAATGAAAGTCTGCCTTAATCAAGAATCCATGATGAATTAAATGGGATTATGTGACAACTAATGGTTTGAACTCGTTTATTTTTATTGATTTTGTTTCGCCTATTTAAATGATATCTTTGTAGTTAAACAATCAACATTATTAAATTTGAATAGTATTATACCCAAATCCCCATGATTCATGACAAAAATTATTATACTACTACTTCAATAATATTCTCATGTATTATATCATACAATACATACACATTTTTTTTACAAGGTCAAACACACAAACAAATAATGCCTCATTTCACCAATACAATATTACAAACACCACATTAATATATTACAATAAAACCCGGCACTGTGGGTCCTACCTGTTTACCTAGCGCTGTCATGCTGTCCACACCACCCCGTTATATATGGAGAACATTCAAACTTAGCTCATCTACATTGCTAGCCTTATATATTCAACAAGTAGCTCACTTATTTTTTCTTCTATTAAGCCTAACTTACAACTCAAATTCTGAATTACAACTTCAAACACTTATACTTCAAAAATTTTAAACATGGCAAAAGTTCACCCTCATCTCTTATTTTCTCCTTCTGCTTCGCCTTCACGTTCGTTGTCTCAAGAAGAGACCGAAAAGTTTACTGTTTGGATGAAGTCTTTAGTACTCAATGGCAATGGTTGCACCATCTATGATGCCACGGGCAATATTGTGTATCGTATCGATAATTACGACACCAAGTGTAGCAGCCAAGTTTTCCTCATGGATCTTAAGGGAAAAGTCTTAAGCACCTTGATTCGAAAGGTAATAATTGATTTATAAACTTATACATTACTATTTACAAACAATGTTCAATTTCTTTAATTAGGGCACTTCAAATATGTACATGTACTAAATAAATTTGTTTCTTATTTGCAGAAATTGAGATTAAATGAGCATTGGTGTGGATACAAAAACGATAGAGTAAAAAACGATAAGCCTTGGTTTCGAGTAAACAAGATAAGCAAGGTTTTTAACAAGAACGGAGATGGATTTTCGTGTCAAGTAACAATGGAAGACAACGAATCTCAAGCACTTTCTTGCTTTAAAATACAAGGGTGTGTTCAAAAATCCGAATTCAAAATTATTAGAGGAGACGGACTTGTGGTTGCGGAGGTTAAAAGAAAGCAATCAACAAGCGGAGTAATGTTGGGAGACGACGTATTAAGCTTGGAAGTACAACCGAATATGGATAATGCCTTCATTATCTCACTTGTAGTAGTTCATGGTTTGATTTCTCATAAGATTTGACCTATACAAACCCATATAAAATTAAATTTCTAACACCAAAAAAAAAAAAAAAAAAAAAAAAGAATGATCACAAAATTTCATACATGAAAGAAATGGTGTACGTATGATCAACTCAATGTACATCGTCCATCATATAAGAAGAAGTGTGTGTTTGCTTGCTCGAGGGGGCGGTTTTCGAGCATCACAACATTCTGTGAGGAATAAGCTAGCTACCCATCGGCGTGTAGATATGTTGTACAGAATTGAAGCTTGGAAGCATGGAGTTTGTTCGTTCTTTCATAACCTTAATTATTTTTGTATACAATTTTTGGCCTAATCAATTAGGGTTTGTGTATAATTTTTTATCCTAATGAGAAATTGGACTTGATTTTTTAAAGATTTAGTTTAAACCTATGCAATTTAGATTGATTTGAGTTTATTGTTCTATCTTTATCCAATTATCTTTGATTAATTAAAGGATATGCTCGACAAAAGTAGATATTATGTACGCTAATTGTTACCGGTTAAACTTTATTAAATTGTTAGTTAACGATTAAAGTAAGTATTTCTAATGGAATAGTATGGTAACAACAATTTTAATGAATCGGAGACATGACCAAATGTTATGAGAGGTTGGTTCGAAGAACAACAGCTTGAGCAAGGTAAGAAAAGGTCCAGTGACGAGTTAGAGTTGCATTAATTGGACTTACAAGAGTTGGTAACATAATTAAAGCAATTTATTGACTCTGTATGACTTTTAAAAGCTACTTCTTTAACAAAAAATCTTTTTTAATTTAAATTTTTTAAAAAGTTCGAAAGATTAAAAGTTTGAGAGATTAAGAGTAACTCTGTATTAAGCATTAATAATAACGATCTTGCTAACGAGCGCCCCGGGGCGTTAGATAAGGATAAATTATATTGGTTAAAATGGTATTAAGTTAGGAATTCAGGACAAAATCACGCGTCGTTCGGTGTAATTAATATTAATTTTACTCTAATATTTGTACTTTAATTCTCTTATCTAACGCTCCGGGGACGCTTATTAGCTTTTGCCTAATAATAATACTCTATAACATAGATTGACACATGACTTTGTCATAAACTAATAAATTATCAAGTAGAATATGTATTTAATGTCTACATGCAACCATATCATATATTACCTCGAATGCGATGCTACTAATCTATCAACACCTAAAAGTAATAGATTTGTTCTTAATTAACAATTTTACTAATACTATGTTTAGTAACTTTGACTTTATGAAGAACCAAAAATTGAAAAGGTATCGCCAAAGATGACCAAATAAAATTATGTCTTAATAAACAAAATTAAGTCTTAATCAAAAAACAGTTCAATAACTATTCTATAATTTTTCTTCTTTCGTGGAAGTTAAAAGAATATCCACTTGTAATATGATATCTAATGACGACTAAGCTCATAGTTAACTAAAAATTCTACTCACTAAAGAGAATTTAATTAGTTGACAAAGACAATAGAATTCAACAAAAAAAGCAAAGTTGAGAAATCATAAATTAATGTTGATCACATGTATTGATTTTATGTTTTGAGTGAAGCATTTAGTCATTTACCTAAAAATAGTTGAATTTGGACCAAGTATTTTCCATTCATTGATAGAAATGTTTGCATGTGCCCGGTGGGAACTATAGCACTATGGCCCTATTTAGCGTGGCCTACTACAACAATTTTATTGAACATTTTATGGCTGGACACGTACAATTTTGGGCTTCTTTTTTTTGTTGCCATTTCATTAGCTAGTTAGTAATTCTTTGCCTTGTTCACTCTGTTCGGAATTAATTATCACATTATCTCAATTAGTTATTCATAATTTAGAATATGTTCATATATAAATAAGATGACAGGTGTAGATGATATGACAATATATAGATGATTGTCTAGACTATTATTTTTGTATTTATTCTACTAATTATCGTAGATATACGTGCTCCTTAGCTTACAAGTGTTTGCATTTTATTAGCTAGTTACACAATATGCAATATTTTGTACATAATTCTCACTTTGATCACATGATCTCATCAACTTTTTCATAAAATATGTTCATATACAAATGATTCTTTATACTTTTTACTTTATACTTCTACTCTACCTCAATTTTTATTTTATTTTTATTCAGTAATTGTAGATATGTATAGCAAAGTTTGAAAAAAAATTAAAATGTTTAATAGAAAGGTGAAGTAAAAAGGGTGTAGCTAGGGTGTAAGAGAATGATAGATAAATCAAAAGGTGATTGGAACTTTATAAGGATAGTGGACTAGGACAATAAGCTTATGTTCAATTTATTTTATTTAAGCATATATTTGCTTATCTTTGATCAGATTAGATAATATCCAAAAAAAAAGAAGATCTTTTAACAAGTAGGGCATGTTCTCATTGACTGAACTTAGCTGAATTGAACTGAATTGAACTGAACTGAGCTGAACTCAACTGAGCTGAGCTAGACTGAACTGAACTGAGCTGAGTTGAACTGAGCTGAATTTCAACGTAAGAGAACAGGCCCGTACTGTAGTATTTTATTTACCCGTAGGTTATTACTTATTGTTTATCCCTCACACATCAAAAAAGAAATACTACGTAAAAAAGTGAATAAGAACAAAGGTAAAATTGTAATTTATATATATATTTTTTTAACCCGTCATCTATTAGTTAATTTAAGTAGTGAAATGTACTTATTTTATGAAATTTCAATCAACCATCACAATTATTGAAACCATTTTTCTTCTAGCATCTTAAATATAATTCTTAATGTAGTATATGTAGTGTCTATTTGTTTCGAACGTAAGAAGGGAATATGTAAAGTATAGCACTGTATTTAACTTTAGTTTTTCCAAATAAAGGGGAGAAATAAAAATTTGTCAATAATATGTAGACAAACACTACCTACCAAAAGTAAAAGGAGAAAATCTAGTTTGATGTAATAGACTAAATATTGCAAATGTGAAAAGAATGAGTAGCTAAAAATGGCTGGCTATAATAATAGTAGAGGCACACATTGGATAAGGATGCATCATAACACAAACCAACTAAACCAATTTTAACAAGATTTACGTTGGCACGTGGTGGTGGTGCCCAAGGAGCACTACTATGACACGACCGTGAAATAGTAGAATATGTTACTAATCTTGTTTCTTTCTTTCTTTTGGACATTATTACATGCCACAAAATAAATATCAGTGTAAGTGAGTGGTGTTTCTAACGGCAGTTGGCACAATCAAATTTTGGTTAGTTATATAAGTGAATGTTTCAATCAAGATTATTGTAGAAGGTTGAACAATGAACTCTCAATGGAAAATTCGAATTGTGTATTATGTTTGCACCTAAAACAAAACATTGTTACACATTGAAAGTAACTTATGGGGTGATTGTATGGATTGTGCCGTAATTTTGGCTTGCAAATTAGCGTATTATTCGCAAACTAGAGGTGATCATTTGTTGATTTGAGCGAAAAAAAGGGACATCTCTCTATGACTCGATAGTATTTAATACCGACTTAATATGGTAAAATCAAACTCTTTTATGTGGGTTTGACAAGTTGTTCAAACTAACCCTATTTAGGGTGTGTGCTCTATTCACCTGATTTTAATTTCACTTATCTTTTATGAACTTTACATGAACTTATTAGAATTTATTAAACTTATTTAAGTTGTAATTTGTACTTTAATAACTCTTATTTGAGCTTATGTTTCCTGAACTGAACTTATTTGAACTTATTACACCCGAAATAAGTGAAAATAAAAATGAACAGAAAATGCCCTAAATGGATTAGGCTTGCCTGTGATCTACAAAAACTAGAAAAACTTTCACCTATTCTAACTTATTTTTAGAGATACGTGTAAATTTTTTTAAATAAATGTTTTGCTTAAGCATTCTTATATATTTCCTGGTTTAACAACATTAAATTTTGAAAAGTTTAAATATAGTAATTAAACATTTAAAAATCTTAAATCTAGACCGATGTTGGTGAAATATACGAAGTATGAGAGATGTCAATCATTAAGTATTAAGTGACAAGATAAATAATAAATTTAAAAAGTTATAACCATTTTTTTTTACCGGGACAAAGTTATGACCAATAAAAAGCTTAGAATTCAATAATTTCGCTTAATTTTTAAAATACGCAGTTTATGGATAATCAATTAGCTCGAAATATTATATATATGTATATATATATACAAAAAAAAAAATCTCATGAGTAAAAAGGCAAGCATTAAGAACTCGAATTTAGCTAATTATACACATGCTATTCTTCAAAATTCCCTAATTGCAAGAGATTGATATACAAAGTATAATTGCCCAACAAGAAATATTGTCCGGATCTCAAAGGACTAGCTCAATCAACTACTGAATGTGCAAAACTTGAATAAGAAATCATAATGCTCATATGAGCTAGTTATAAATTCTCATTAAACTTAGCTTAAAAATACAAAAAACCAATCAACTTAGTTATTTTGCACCCTAAATCCAAATTATTAGTGAGCACATTAAGTTAACTAAGAAAAAGTCATTTGGATAAGACAACCTACAAGACACTTATAGCTCTTTGATCTAAATCACCAAGTAATCCATCAAGTGAGGCCAAAACCTAGGAATCTGTTGGCGTGGAAATTTGTACCTAAAATGAAGACTTCAAGACATCAATATTCTTATTTGTCAAAAAACAAACACTACAGTATCTCTCAAAGTTCATAGCAACGCAATCATTTCCAATAATACTATATTATGATCATCATCATAATGTGCTAGAACAAACCTCGTTCATAGTACAATGATCTTAATATTGACTCATATTTTAATCTGGACAGTGTTTTAGTGGGCATTTACTTATATTTTCCTATGACAATATATGAAGAATTAGCTTACCAATTTTACTTTAAAGTTGCACATCAATACCCACTAATTAACTAGCTAATTTACTTTAAGACTCAATATAGTTATTATAAGTACGAGCAAATCATTCTTATACTTTAGCCAAACTAAATTTTAGTTAAAATATACAATGATAAAAGCAATCACAACTAATAATATTAATTAATTAATACTTTGTAGTTTATAAAATGTAACAACTTCATAGTTTGGATTGATATCTTTATAGAATACATATGAATATTTATTTTTGGCCGAAAAATGTATTATTTGAGCTTGAGATAAACGTACCACATGAAAAGGCTTAAACATAAATAAAAGTCTATAGTTAGTTGTATTTTAAACAATGACTATATACTTTCAAACAAGTATACAAGGATGTGCCAAAAATAAAAATATTGATTAATACCATAAGTAAATTAACATTTTACTATGATTTTGGCTAACAAACTTCACAATCAACTGCTGTTTTTAATTTTCGTAGTTAT